GAAAATGTGAGGGCAAATTTCCATCAATCGAAACTAATGATTAACTGCTTCCGCTCATCATTCTAAATGTTTAAGTTGATGATATATCAAGAGATTTCGTAGGTCAGACTGCGTCTTTTCACGGCGAACGTCAACATCGTGGAAACTTAAAATTTTTCGAATTTTCTTGAACTTCTCGAAAACTTCTTCGATCCAAATTTCATTCTGCTGAGGAACCAAAAGTAAACGAATATTTTTCAAAAATACGTAAGAATTTAACCGATTGATTTGTTAATTAAACGTAATCAGAAATTCGCTGCTATATCCTCTCTAAACTAATCTTCAGGCCGTCGTCATCGAAGACCAATGAACAACCACTAAATATTGGCACGCACAAAACACTTCGTCGATCACCTTCCGTTGAAGGTGAGCCCACACTTCATACTTTTCATCTCCGATGGGAACATTCGACCAAGAATTACCCAAGCGCTTGGATGCATCTCATAAATTGCTCATTGAATTTCTCACTGAACGCATTCACAAAGGTTTTTCAACTAGGTAGACTGGCTCCGAATTGGAATGGGGCTTCGTCCAAACTTGTGGCTATGACTTGTCGACAATGGAAATAATTCATTGTTGTTTGTTGTTGTTCATAGAGTAAACGGGACGGACGAAGTGAACATAATATTTGAATGTAAACTGATTCATCAGCCAATCAAGTTTTAGGAATGAAGATTCAAGATATAATGATAAAGATCATTTGTTGATGCGATAAATTGTAGAGATTCCATCCTCAGACAGCAGTGACAGTAGTCGAAAGGTGAGCAAACGACGCCATCGCAAGATTGTCACCAATGTTTCTGATGCCAGCAAAACGCTTCCAGAAAATAATAAAACTCGTAAACGACAGCGCGTCGATAAAGTGAGTAATTTGTTTGCTTGAAGTGGGCAAATCCATATTTTTCGACTCAAGTTGAAACTGTTTTGATCAGAATTTTTTCGAACCATCCTATTGGGTAACTGAAAAACTGTGAAAGAGCTACAGCTTATATTTGTGTTCCGCAGAGCCCTAAAACGGTTCCAGTGTCTGCTTTTTCTGTGTAATCACCATCGAATACGGCGTTGATCCTCTTATGATTAACATCCCAAAAAAAGTGTTTCATTTGGAACTATTCAAGCTTCCAAATGCTTTTGTTTTATGAATGCTTGAATTGATATGAACTGATATGATTTACTGAAAAACTGTTTACTAATGCCTAAAGCTTTTCCCAGAATAATAATACCGAAGTGTCTGGAAAGCGTACAAAGGCAAACGGTGAGAAGCGTCAAGTGAGGAAATCAAGGTGGACTCCTTCTCAGCAGTCGATTCTTGAAGAGTACTTCGAGGTTCATCATTTTACTACTTTCGTCCGATA